ATCTTATACAGAGAGTTCATAAATGATCGAGAACCACGTGATCAAAAATGTATGCAACCAAACATACACAATTGGCAATAGTGCAGATTAATGTCCCTAAATTCATTGGCGTCACAAAGGAGTTAAGAATAAAAAAATAAAGCATTTCATAAATTGTTTTTATTTAGGTATTTACAATAAATGTTGAAAATGATTTCCTTCGTTAGCAATACACATATTAACTCTTCTTTTCATATTATCAAATACTCGTTGAAGAGTGTAAGGAGTTATATTTTCAATTTCATGGGTTATTGGTTGTTGCAGCTCATCAATGGTATGCAACCTATTTTTGAAAACATTGTTCTTCAAATGACCAAACAAAAAAAAATCCGGCGCGGTGAGATCTGGCGATCTTGGGGGCCACAGTCCTTGACTTATAATTCGATCGTCATAAACTTCCTGCAAGAAACGAAGTGTGCTTCCTGCTGTATGTGCCGTCGCTCCGTCTTGCTGAAAGTAACCATACTGGCATTCGTCATCATGCAGTTGTTCAAAAAAGGGTTGTAGAATATTAGTGCGATATCTTTCAGCATTCACCGTATCGTGAAAAAAAAATCGGTCCTATAATTCTTCTTCTTGAAATGGCTACCCAAACTCCAACTTTTATGGGATGCAAACTAGTTTCTACAAAAATATGAGGATTCTCAGTAGCCCATGTTCTATAATTTTGACTATTCACGTATCCACTCAAATGAAACCATGCCTCATCAGTGAAAAATGTTAAGTCTAATAAGGCATCATCATTTAAATTATTATTAAACCATTGGCAATAATTTATTCTTCGCTCAAAATCTGGTGGAAGTAATTCATGGACAACTGAAACTTTATACGGGTGCATGTGCAGAACTTTGTGTAGTGCTTTATGGCAACTTCCAACTGAAAGACCTGCAACAATTTAACTATTAAACTGTATCATAAAATCTCTTTAATTCTTATGAAAATATTTAACGCCTTTAAAAAATAAAAAATCTGACAACCAATCTTTACCTGTCTGTGCTGATAATTTTCGTATAGATTTATTTGGACTTTGTTCTAACCGATGCTGGATGTCTTCTGTAACTTCTTCAGTCAAAACAGTTTTTCTGCCAGTTGTCTTTCCTTTGCAAATACAATTTTTAGTCTCAAAACGATGAACAAGGACCCCCTTATGATTTGCAAATGTTTGATACCCAACATTGGCATCTGGAAAGGCTTCCGTAAATTGGTCAATACACGACTGCAGTGAATAAGACCAGGTTCCGTCTGGGTTTCGGGTTCCACTTCGAAAGTGAGCCATCAGAATGAAAGCATCCTGTTTGGGTGTGAAAACCATTGTTAAACAACAAGTTTTCCTGAAAATGTCAAAGTAAACGTACTTAATTTTATATAGACATTTGGTGTGAAACTTCACACAACGCACCATTCGCCTTCGCACAAACCATTTCCACAGAACTCTTCTGCAGCACCCCCTGAACACGTTTCTAACCTTCAGATGTGTATAAATGACACCTTGTGTCAGAAAAACATATTCAGTGTTCGCACCCTATAGTTGCGGCCGATATACGCCATATACTGCACACGCAATTTAACTGACACCAATTCCAACAACTAAATGATCACGGAGCAAGAAGTTCCACGTTAAAGAGTATGTTTGTGATGGGGTGTATGGCGCGAGGGGATAGTCTGTGGGCGCGAAGAACCCGTGTGTCTATTAAAAATCAGACATTACCCTTCCGCGCATCCGCGCGTTGGTGACTGTAAAAAGTTAGGTTATATTAGCAACGGCTGATATTAAAGAGTAAAGGAATGCAAAATTTAACAATTTTTTGTGGCACTACATTTGAAGGTGAGGAACGTGATCAGGGGGTGCTCTAGAAGAGTTTTGTGCAAACAGTTTGTGTGAAATCGAACAGTGCCTGCGTTTTGTAAAATTTTACCAAATTTGATTACGTACCACACAGTTGTTAATTTCAAGTAGTTAGTTCTGAAAAGAACTGATTTGTATGTAAGTAAACAATTAGAAAACACTAAAAACAGAACGAGAATGGGAATTATTACTACAAGGACGCTACTGATCGTAAATGACACTAATGGCAGATAAACGATAACAATTTAGTAAAAATAATTGATCATTAATCAATAATGCCAATCGATTTTTTAGTTACAAATAATTAACTGGTCACGTGGTTCTCGATCATTAATGAACTCTCTGTATCATCATAAAAAAATAATTGTATTTACTTGACTGTACTTTAGGTTCGAGGGAAGTTCTGTAGAAATAATCTTCGACCAATTTTTACTTCCCGAGCGTAAGCAAAGGAAGTATTGTAATCGAGTCCGTCGGCCGACTCTCCACTTTTACGTTTTCTCAATCTTTCATGACCCCTAGAGGACGAAGAAATAGGTCTCCCGTTTCCGTCTGTCTGTCCGTCTGTTCGTCTGTCCGTCTGTCCGTCTGTCCATCTGTCCGTCTGTCTGCCGTCCCGGATTTTTATTAATAGCCAAACAAAGTGAAACAGCTAACTGTAAACGTGCACGCGCCCACAAAGCAAAACGAATGATGCTTAGATCCTATAAAGATCCCATTATAGTTAGTACCACAATAAACATTTCCAAGACGTTATTATGGCTTAATTTCGGTGTGTTGGTATGGATTTTAAATGCTTTAATTTAAAAGTCAACTACTATCCCCAGCTGTAGAAAACAACTACAAATATTCATTGAAGACCTTGAAATCCTCAACTAAGTAAGAGAAGTGTTTGAGATATATTAACTTCAGGACAGCAAGTGTCATACTTAAAAATTCCCAACAAAAAAAATTAACCCTTAAAAAGTCTGAAATTGGTTAAGATTCGCTGCGAAGGTTGTCGTGCTGTCCCCCATCTTCGCTCGAACAGATCTAATTCCTACACCAACAGCATTATGATCTGATGATGTTGAAATGACTAAAGTAATTAACATCATACATAGGTAAGAATCACCCGATTAAACCAGCTGTCAAACAAAAAAACGAATTGAAATCGCTTTGTCCGTTTGGAAGCTACAGAGCCACAGACAGACACACAGACAAACCAACACAGACTTCGAAGTTATGTTAGAATACTCCTCTTTTTGCACTGTAGGCTAATAAAATGAAGTCTCTCAGTTGAGATGCCTCTAACCAGTTCACACATCTTAAGTCGTCTATCGGCCAAAACCATATTATGAGCTTTACCAATGGTTTCTGGTTTTTTTTTCCTGCGCCTAAACTCATTAACTCTTAACACATTAAGAGTATGAATCCTTCCATGTAGGAAATATTCCTTCATGGATTTCTTTCGCAGTTTTTACTTCCAAAAAGAAGTACTGAATCATACTACGAATTATAATTTTATCAATTTTTAAATATCACTCGACACACTAGTATTCATTTATTTCCGAAACACAGAATTACTAACAGACTTGACATTATAGAATTATAGAAAACCTACAAAAAATCTACATATGCAGTTATTGTTTTTCTTTTTTCATTTCCAAAACTATGCGAACCAAGGTATTCATTAAATTACCGCCGTAAAAACCTTCCCGATTAAACCAGCTGTCAAACAATAAACCGCATTGAAATCGGTTCATCCATTTGGAACTACGGCGCAACACACAGAGACACAGACATCAGTTGATGATTTTGAAATGACTGAAATGATTATCACCAAACATAGCTAAGAAACTATCCCGATTAAACCAGTTTTCAACTAAAAGAAACTGCATTTAAATATTCGTTTGGGACCTACAGTGTCACAGACAAATACGTAGACAGACAAAGGCTTCAAACATAAAAATGGTAAAAGTGATTATCATCAAACGTAGCTAAGAAGCATCTCGGTGAAACCAGCTTTCACACAAAAAAACTACACTGAAATCCGGTCATCTTTTGAGGAGCTACGGTGCTACAGACACCCACAGAGACAAAGGAATTCAAAGTTATAACACCCCTCTTTTTCAGTCGGGGTTCAAAATACTGATCATTATGTTTATTGATTTTTTGCGAATGTAAAGTATGTTCTATAGCATATACTGTAGAATAGGATTAGATAAATATTGTTCAGATGTACAACACAACATAAGAAGTTCTAGTTTTTTCTAGTATAACTTCTTTCTTATTAGACATTATTTCAAGTGACCAAATTTCGGCGTGTTGAATCCTTAGTGTATTTTCTTTATTCATTCTGATTTTTAAAATTATAGTCTGTCAAAGATGTCTCAAAAAAAGTCAAGAATTAAAGTATCTAATAATATAATTTTATTATTTAAACCAGAAACGCCTTATCTGATTTTCCTGTGACTCTGGGAACACAACACTGTGATCATTAAAATTACACTATACTTATTATTGCCCCTGCAAAAAAGCGATGATATCACCATAAAATTTTCTAATGAAAATCGTACGACACCAAACACTGGCCACTAAGAGGACACAATTCAGTACGGTTACCATAGTAATACAAAATAAAAAACAAGTGGAAATTTTTTCAGCCAACCAAAATCAAAAACTGGATTTTTTATTATGCATCATGAATAGAGAAATAGTATTTATTAAAATGAAATACACAATTATTATAACTAATAATTTGTTGGAGATTGTTAAAAATACTTATATTAACCACGGTTGCAAAGCCACTTCTAGACCTCGCGCTTCAGAGCCCTCGACGCTGCGCGTCTCGGTTTCTAATTTGCGCTCTGTCTAGAATGCTTGGTTTTGCAACCTTGGCTAATAATATACTATTATGTTTGACTCAATCATAATGATGTCATTTATGACACTTCCAACAGTCCATACCACTTTTTTTGGACTGTAAAGTAATTTGGACTGCAACTCAAAACGATTTATTCAAACAAAAAAAATGGACAATATTTATATCTAACATTACAACTTACAACGTTTCTTAACTTATTTTTGTTACAATAATGGTTAATATTAATAACACAATTTGTGTTGTTGATAATATTGAATCCAGACGATGATGCATTTTCTGTTATTTCTTTGTTTCTAGAATTTATTACTGAATCCCCTAATGATTCTTCCGTTGTACCTAATATTGTTGAAGCAACATTAGTTTCTGAACTTTCTGACTAGTCGATGTAGCCTTCAACCACTGCCGATGACCGCCATCCACCATGTGTCTTAATACCTTCCATACTGGTTCCAGCATTTGCCAGAATGCTAGCAGAAGTACGACGGAAGCAGCGACTGGTATATGCTGAAGGATTTTCTAAGCTGAGAAATCTGGCTACTACATTTGGTACACTTGCAATTTTATGCACTCCCACAGGTTGTACTGTGCATTTTCGTTTAACGTAATTAACAAAAAAACGATTATGAGGTGTTTAAACGATCTCTCAGTTTTTTTTTTTGTTTTCACAAGCTTGACCAAGAAATGAGTGTTATGGTCTTCGACACTGTGGTTTTCAGGGAAATTAGCTTTTGCCGTCTAGTAGCACCGACCACTCCAAAAATTAAAATTACCTACAATTTATTAGAAAATTAAGATCCAAGTATCCTAGTTGTTACTCATCTTTCAAAGTTACTATCTACCACCATAATACATCGACTGCCTTAAAACCCCTTACCTGGCCAAATGGTATTTTGGTTACGAGGTTTTTTCAAAAGTACCGAACACCTGAAGAGAACGAGTAGCACCAACACAGGAAACATTGACGTGGGCTGAAAAGGCAGAACATGTAACATCGCAAAACAGCAAATTAGTGGAGACTCCGGTAAAAAGCACTGAACTTTCCACGGCTGTGAATTTCTCGATATTCCACTTAAACATGCAGTGCTTAAGGAACAAGGTGAATCAACTATTATTGTTCTTGGACAAAGATGATTACGATATACTTTGTTTATCTGAACACTGGCTCAAGAGTGAAGATCTTATCGATATAAATTTGGAAAAATATATTCTAACTAATTTCTTTTGTAGATGTTCATTCGTCCACGGAGGTGTGGCTATTTATATTAAAAAACATATATCCTTTTGCCAATTGGACTTAAATGACTTTTGCGTGAAAATACATGCTGAGTTCTGTGGTATATACGTTAAATTCTTAGACTTAATAGTAATTACGGTTTATAGATCTACAAATGGAGTAATGGAAATCTTTCTTGAAAAATTAGAGAGCTTACTAACTATGATTTTTAAAAAATACAAAAACATAATTTTAGTCGGTGACTTCAATGTTGACTTTAAAACATCTTCGAATGTACTGTCTGAACTCAAATTGCTGTTATACACTTTTAACATTCTTCCCACTATTTCGGATTATACGAGAGTTAGTAAACACTCTAAAAGTTGTGTAGATAACATCTTAACGAATGTTGTAGAGGAGTATGAGACGAGCGTTACTGAACTTGTCCTCTCGGATCATTATGGTCAATACATGAACTAAAACTAAATATCATTAATGTATACCTCCCTCCAGGGTCTCCGACTGAATGTTATGATGTTATTTTTGAGTATTTAGAAAACAACTGCCTGTTATCTTCTAATACAGTTATTGTGGGTGACTTCAACATCCCGCAATATTACGTCCAAATGGTACTTAATAAAGCTTTAAACTACATATCGGGCTCGTCTATCTTTCTACGTGACTTTCTAAATGTCAACAACTTGCGACAATGTAACTTTGTTCTAAATTCCAATACAAGACTACTGGATTTGGTGCTAATTTCTGATAACCTCAACTGCACAGTATCTCGTAACGAGAACCCACTGGTAACGGAAAACCAGCATCATCCTTCGTTATCTCTAACTCTCGGTATCCCTATGTCTAAAAGTAAAGATAACAAATTCGTAACAGCAAACAACTGCATCAAATATAATTTTCGCAGAGGTGACTATAACGGATTATATAGTGCACTGTGTAATATTGACTGGTTTCGTCTGATGGTAATTACAAATGTTAATGAAGCTCTTGACTCTTTTTACGATGAAATATTTAACTTATTTAATACCTATATTCCAAAAAGTACTGTCCGTACATCTTCCTACCCAATGTGGTTTACACCTACTATTATTGACCTCGTTAAGAAGAAGCAGCAATTGTGGAAACGTTTTAAAAAATTTGGATATGAAAGAGATTTAATGCAAGTCAATTCACTCAGAAAACGTATTAAGAATGATATTAAAAAGGAATACACAAATTTCGTATCTCTCGCTGAACACAATATTAAAGGTGATCCTAAAAACCTGTGGAAGTATATCAACCTAAAAAAAAATAATACAAGTATTCCTGGTAATATGTATTATCAAGAGACCGAGTTAACAGATTCACAGGCAATAGTGAATCACTTCGCAGATTACTTTAGTTCTGTCTTTACTTGTGATAATTCTCACAGTGATTCTGTGTTCGTCTGTGATAAGGGTAGTGATATAACTAACGTTTTACATAACTTTGTGATTTCCGACTGTGATATAAATCGTGCTGTGAAGAAAATGAAGCCCAATCTCACCATGGGTCCTGACGGGGTGCCAGCGTTCTTCATCAAGGATTGTGTCACATGCTTACTTCAGCCTTTGTGTTTTTTGTTTAATTTAATTATTTGTAAAGCTACTTTTCCTGATCGTTGGAAAACTGCTAAGGTTGTTCCTGTGTATAAAAGTGGTGACAAACACAATATACAAAACTACAGACCCATTGCTATCATATCGAATTTTTCGAAGTTGTTCGAATCCATCCTATCGAACGTTCTGTATCACCATGTATCACCCATGATCAGTACTTGTCAGCATGGATTTATAAAGGGTAGATCGACATCCACTAACCTTTGCGAATATGTCCAATTTATATCTAACGCGCTTGAAGCAAGAACCCAAGTTGATGTTATATACACAGACTTGTCAAAGGCGTTCGACACTGTTAAACATGATGTTCTTATTAATAAGCTTTTGTCTTTTGGTATATGTAATAACTTATTAAATTTATTCAGATCGTTATTGCTAAATCGTGAACAATATGTCGAATATCGTGGTTTTCGTTCCTACAACTATCTTACTTCTAGTGGTGTTACACAGGGTTCAAACTTGGGACCTATTCTGTTTGTAATCTTCTTTAATGATGTATTCTTACAATTTAAATGTCAGGTCTTCGTATACGCTGATGACTTAAAAGTAGCGAATTGTATCTCTAACCTTGATGACTGTCGTACCTTACAATCTGATTTAAATAATTTTAAAGTGTGGTGTGATAACAACGGTCAAATAATCAATTACAAAAAATGCAAACTTATAAGATTTACTAGGTCAAACACAAACATTCTGTATCAATATATGTTAAACAATACTGAAATTGTTACAGTCAGTCAAATAAAAGACCTTGGTGTCATTGTAGATTCGCAGTTGTCCTTCGTGCCACATATAAACTATATTACTGATCATGCTATGAAAATATCTGGTTTTATCTATAGAAACACCCTGCATTTCACTAATATTGATGTTTTACTCTCTCTTTACTTTGCGTACGTGAGATCCAAATTAGAATATTGTTCCATGGTATGGGATCCGTTGTATAATGTTCACATTAATAACTTAGAACGTATTCAACGGAAGTATTGTAAGCGACTTTATTTTATTAAGTGCGGTGTTTATCCTGTAAGATCATTCAGTCATCCAGTATTATTATCGGCTTTTGGCTTGTGCTCATTAAAAGCAAGAAGAACTTTCGCAAATGTATTATTTTTATTTAAATTAATTAATGGCGTTATTAGTTGTAGTAGTCTTGTTAATCAGATCAAATTTCATGTGCCTAGATTAAATTCCCGTTGTCCATTAACTTTTGCTCTTAGCATTTGTCAAATAAATCAGCACATGAATGCCCCACTAAATAATATGTGTCGGTGTTATAATGGCATACCGGAGGTCGATATATTTACGTACGATATTAAAAAATTTTGTTCACAATGTAAAAGCATCCTTGGTTGTTAGTTTGTAGTTTTATGTGTTACTATTTTGCTAAGTCTTCTTTATATTTATATATGTCTTCTATATTGATATTGATATTTTGTATTTTGTATTTATATAACTCTTACATTAATCCTGTTAGACACTAATGTCTGTTGGATATTAATAATATATTTATTTATTTATTTATTTAATACATTAAGATGCAAATACACTCTTCTCAGTATAAACCCATTACGTGGACGAGACCTATCACTGATGTTGGGATAGCAAAGCTTCGACAGTCTTTGCTTGAAGTCGATTGGAGTATTTTCTGTAGGCCTTTATTAGATGTCAACGCTGCAAGCTCAGTTATAGTTGGTACGCTCTCCCAACTTATAAACGAACATCTTCCCCTGAAAAAGTGCAAAAATGACCAGTCGCAGATTGCTCCATGGTTTAGTAAAGAGCTTAGGCAGTTTAGAGACACTTTGAGCGCCGTAAAAATCGTAAGTGATAATAAATTAATAAATGAGACAAAGAAAAAAGCGTACGACTCATATATAGAGCGGGCCAGCTCCGTGTCGAAGGGTGCTTGGCGACTAATAAATCACGAACGAAACAAAAAACAACATATTACTGGAAGTGCGATCTCAAGTGAGAAATTTAACCTGCACTTTACGTCTCTCCCAGAATCAATCGTTAAAAATCTTCCACCAGTAGCGGGCACACCAGGTGAATATATGTCAAGTAGGCCCTCCCCTGCTGGCTCATTTTTTCTTGTACCCACAACGATGGATGAATTGATCTCGACGGCAAATTCTCTAAAGAATACAAACTCTTTTGATGTCTACAATCTAAACACCAAAATAATAAAAAAAACTATCAATATCTACGCGAAGCCTCTCTGTAAACTTATAAATGCATGTTTTTCTCAGGGAGTCTTTCCAGATGCTATGAAAAAGTCAAGAGTAGTCCCAATTTTCAAAAATGGTGATCCACAGAACGTGAACAACTATCGCCCGATCTCCATAATACCGATTTTAGGTAAACTAATTGAAATACTTGTTAAAGTTAGGCTCTCGAACTTTTTATCAAAAAATAAAACACTCAACAATATCCAGTTTGGTTTTACATCTGGAAAGTCGACAATAGACGCTGTTTTAACTGTAATTGAGGGTATTGTTGAGGGTTTTGAGGAGAACATGCACACCTCCTTGGTCTGCTTTGACCTCAGCAAGGCCTTTGATTGTGTCGATCATGGAAACCTTCTCGAAAAATTGGCACACTATGGAATTCGGGGAACTACTTGGTCATTTTTCGAATCGTACTTGGGAGACAGACAACAAAAAGTTGTTGTTGCCAATGAAGAGTCACTATATCGTAACGTGAAATATGGCGTACCGCAGGGATCCGTCCTGGGACCACTATTGTTTCTGTTAATGATAAACGATTTAGACGACGCAATTCTGTTCGCAGATGATACCACCAGTATAGTCTCTGATAAGGATCCAATTAGACTTAAAGAACTAATAAACGAAAGGAAACAGAATATAGAAACTTGGTTCAATACAAATGGACTATGTCTTAACAAGAATAAGACGCAGGAATTATTCCTATCGACAAATCCCACTTTGCTAAATGGAAAAAATATTAAACTCCTAGGTATAACGATAGACGATGGTTTAAACTGGCAAGCACACATCAACCAAGTTTCTTCAAAATTAGCTAGCACCATTTTTCTCCTGAGAAAATTACGACCCTTACTGAGCTTCAGTTTACTCCTTTCAGCCTATCACGCTCTGTTCCAGTCTCGTCTTATGTATGGTATATTGATTTGGGGAAGTAGTAGTTATGCGATTAAAATATTCCGACTCCAAAAACGAGCGGTCAGAATTCTTGCAAATGCCAGCTTACGTGACCATTGCAAGCCCTTGTTCCTAAAATACGGCATCTTAACATTTCCATGTCTTTACATCATTAGTATGCTAATTGAAATCCATAAGAAGAAGAAAACGATGGTTAAAAATTCAGATGTTCATTCGTATAATACTAGACAAGCTCAGCACATCAAAACTGCTAAATACAAATTCACAAAATCCGTTAAAAACTCCTTGGACATAAGTATGTATAATAATCTCCCAGAATCATATAAAAACCTTCCACTGACAACGTTCAAACACAAAATAACGAAACATTGTAAAATGCACAATTTTTACTCGGTAGATGAATACAAACAAACACCTCCTATTCATTTATAAAGTATGTGTCTATCTTAAATAGTTACATGTGGAGGTTTTTGTTGGACGTTATTAGGTCTTGCCTTTCACAAATTCCATGTAGATATTGTAAAAAATTTGTTTTGGTGTATGTTGACGTGTACGAAAACAGTGTTATATGTTTATATGTACAAATAAATATGTTATGTTAAGTTATGTTATTAAGTTAGATGCTTGTATTCGAAATTACGCTTAACCTTGTTTAACAAATGTTTCTTGTCATCAGCTTGTGTTAGAAAGGATTTTTTTGGCTTATGATCTTTTCTTTTAAGATAAAGAATGAGACCAGAAAATCGACTAATATCTATACCCTCTTGCAAATTTATT